GTCATTGGAAAGAGAATCACAACCTAACTTGGCTTCTGTGAGCGGGAGTCATCGTGAAAATTGGGCTGAGTCCAATATGGCTGATGCTTGTCCTAGATCTGATTCTTCAACAGACGATACTGAGGATAAGAATCTACAGGTAGTTTTTTCAAAGAATTTATTCTCTGTGATCAACTAATGTGTGCACTTCTTTTAGGAAGGGTGCAGATTGTGTAATTTTGGTCTCTCATTAATAGTCTCTCTCCCCCCCCCCCTCCTCTCTCTTTCTTATACTGTACTGTTTCTTTGATGCTTTCAATAGATTAATAACCTGAACATGTGTGCAGTTTGAAGCAGGTCAAACAAACAACAAGACTGCTTCTGACTCCAGTGAGAGATCCAAAGAAAAAGCTCTCGATCAAAAGGTAATTCAGCATTACTTAGTTCTATTTGCACTCCTGCTATGTGGCTTGGCATATTCTACAACTTGCTAGTCAATTTAAACACTTACTCTCTGTAATTTTTCAGTCACTGCGACGGCTAGCTCAAAATCGTGAAGCAGCTAGAAAAAGCCGCTTGCGGAAAAAGGTAAATCATCGTCATTTATTATGCAATGTATCTTATGGGGATCCTTTGGGCAGTGCAATTTTATTCATATTGATTACATACTGTATAAAAATGCTAGAACTTGTGTTTGATTAACAGATGACTTTTCTTGCTATACTTTATTTGGTACACCGTACATATATATGCATGATCCAGAAGTGTATGTCTTGCGGTGATAATGATCTTCCATTTTTTTTTCAGGCGTACGTACAGCAGCTGGAAAATAGTCGACTGAAGTTGACCCAGCTTGAGCAAGAGCTCCAACGAGCCCGTCAGCAGGTGTTCTTCCTGCTGTTTCTGTTATTCTGATCTATTTGTTAGCTGCCATCACAAATGAAGAAATTAATGCTTGCTGGTCTTCATCTTTTGCATTGTAGGGAATTTTCATCTCAAGTGCTAGTGATCAATCACATACAATAGGAGGAAATGGTATTTTTCTTTGTGGTGCATATTTACTCATTGCTGTTTACTGTTACCAAGATTAGTATTACTCGTCAAGTAAACGTTGATCTTTCAATAGTCACTGGTTATAATTCTTGTTTGGTGATCTTGTAGGTGCCTTGGCTTTCGATGCGGAGTACTCTCGATGGCTGGAAGAACAAAACAAATTGATAAATGAACTGAGGACTGCAGTCAATTCACATGCTAGTGATACTGAACTGCATACAGTTGTTGACAATGTAGCTACACACTTCAATGATATTTTCAGGCTTAAAGGTGTTGCTGCAAAGGCTGATGTCTTTCACATCTTGTCTGGAATGTGGAAAACTCCTGCAGAGCGTTGCTTCATGTGGATTGGTGGCTTTCGCCCATCAGAACTCTTGAAGGTGAGGCCCATCCTTTCCTGTTGTATCTGTTGCATTTTTAAATTTGAGCAGAAACATGAAAACGTACTCAAACTCTACATTGAGCCTTAAAGCATTGACCAAATAAAAGCCCACCTTTGGCTATTTGTGATCTTTTATCTACCTACGAAACTCTAGCGGGCCTCTGGTGACCTTCTGAGGACCCTTCATGATGGCAATGGCAAAGGAATTTATGTGGAGCAAGTTACAGCACTAATCATAATTTACAGCTTACAGCATTGTCCCGTGCTTTTGTCTAGGAATGGCTGTGGTGTGGACCTGGAAAATCGAAAACACAGTATTTTTCTAGTTGAGATTTCTTGTTTTGGGTCACCTTAAAGCTGTGATGAAAATCTGAAAAACCTAGTTGGCTTCAGCCTTCAGGCCTTTTTACGTGTTAGATCTACCTTTTGAAGACCTAGTAGCCGATATTGGGTCCAGTTCAGGCAAATTTTGATATAATTTTGTGATGCCCTGCTTTTTTGGATTTGTTTTGTTAATATTTTGGGCCATATAAAATTTTCTGGTTATGCAAGAAACCATTGGCAGTCAAATCACCAATCCAAATAAGTAAATAACTGGTGTTTCCTACTGCATTTTTTGCTTCAATATATGATTGTTGGTTTGTTGTTGTACCTGCTGCATATCCAACTTTATTAGCATTCAAATGCAGCTTCTGGTGAATCAATTGGAGCCCTTGACAGAGCAGCAGCTAGTGGGCATCTACAACTTGCAGCAGTCATCTCAACAAGCCGAAGAAGCCTTGTCACAAGGAATGGAGGCGCTGCAGCAGTCTCTATCTGAGACATTAGCAAATGGTACACCAGGCTCTTCTGGTTCATCTGGCAATGTGGCAAACTATATGGGTCAGATGGCCATGGCCATGGGGAAATTAGGAACTCTTGAAGGATTCCTGCGCCAGGTATTTTCTTGACAAATCTGTTTGAGATGTTTCTTAGTTAATGTATGTGGGATATTAATTCACAGTTTTCTAAAACTTTGGGATTTATCATAGCATTGTTCTGCTTGCAGTTTGTTTGCTAGAGAATTGACAGTATCATGTTTTTAGACAGATCTAGTTTGTAACTACAGGAAGTTTGGTCCTATGTAGGAATTATTGGAAAAAGTTTTGTAATGGAAAAGATCTTCGAGGGGATAAAATAATCATATATTGGTTGTTTTGGAAACATGAGATTATTTTTTTGTGTGATTTTTGGGGGGTGAACTCATGGATAGGAGTTTCCACTGTTTTCATCTAATTTTAAGTGCTCAAATTCAATGTCATGTCCTATTGTTTGAAGGTTAAGACATTTTGGGCTGAATGAGGAGCTTGCTAAATTTACATTTCAATTCTGGCTTTCTCACTTGCTGGTGTAGCTGCAGTCATAGTTTAATTGTAAAACTTTGTTTTTTCATATCATGACACTTCTTCAGAGTTTATAACACTTGCTGATCCGTCTCAATTATTGTCTCATAATGTCTTGATCTGTTCATGGTCAATGATGCTTCATGCAGGCTGATAATCTCCGTCAACAAACACTGCAACAGATGCACCACATATTAACAACTCGACAATCTGCACGTGCCCTTCTATCTATACATGACTATTTCTCAAGGCTTAGGGCGCTCAGTTCGTTGTGGCTTGCTAGACCGCGTGATTGAGCAGCTTTATGTATCACATTAATTGAAGTAATTGGGTCTTTTGACTTACCTTGTTCCCTTGGCAGTTTTTAAGGCAGCGGCGTAGTTTGATCCTGGCCCCTGACAATGAAAACATATTTTCATGTTTTCTTTCTGTGCTTTGTATGGTTACTGTTGTTCTGTTTGATGTAATTTAAGGGTATTGTTAGGTTGATGTTATAGTATTTAGAGAAGTTTCTTTTGTAGTATATAGACAGTGGTGCCATTGTTAGTAACCACATTACAGTGTAGAATTTCTCTTAGTATTACTAGTATTTACTATTTAGGATGTCATTTTTTTTCCCTTCTATTACTATAAAATCCGTATGTAAGAAATTAACTTCTTAATAAAAAAAAAATGGCTAGTCTTCTTGGTGTTATGGTTACTACTTGTACTAAGCAGCTATCTGAACAATGTTACTGTGTTTATATTGAATTCTACTTCGTTTTGATATTTTGATTTTTAGACTATTTACATGCTCATCATTGACTATCTATTGTGATTTATACTTTAGTGATATATAGTCATGTATGATTTGGTTAAATTTGTCTCGATACATTCAAAATATTCACTAAGAAGCGTAAAACTCTACATGGTGTAATATATGCGGAACTGAGAAAGTGTGATATATTGATGACTATGGTGCATATGGCAAACTCTTGCCTGCTGCCCATTTCACTCTATTGACTCACACTATATCAGTCATTTTTATCTTAGTGATGCTATTAAACTCAACATTCATAATAACTTCATCGCGTAGAGACTGTTGGCTTGGCTGCCATAGGAAGAAAAATCATCAGGCTCATATGACCACAGCACGTCTTGTGTATTCTATGTTATAATCTTACCATCTTTACCAAATGCAGCTATCAGGGCAAGTCTACCCTTAAGTAATGTGTTTTTAATAAAAGCTACACGTTGAGGGCGAAAGGGCACATCAGCCATGGCATTAGCATTGCTTTGCTTAACCTTTCATCTCTACCATCACCATCTAAGTCTACAAATACCACTTCAAAATCAAGAGTTTCTGCTGTCTTAAATCGGACGTACCAGTTAAGTAGTGGAAAAGAAAGACGGGGTTCCAACGCTCCCAAGTAATCAGCATACAGAAGAACCGTCTTTCCAGAGACAGCAGCCACAGGTATTTCATCAAATTTCATATATGGATCCTCTATGTTTCTTGAGGAAAGGAGATGATCATACACCACCAGTGACTCTAGTGTGAGTGCCCTTAGCTAGAGGGACTTGCATAGAAAGTCAGCACGCAATATGTGTCTGAGAACGGGACTACAAGCGCAGATGACGGAAGGCCTGACAATAAATGGTTCAGTTGTCGTTTTAGTTCAGTTCAATTCAACAAATTTCAGTCCAAAAGAATGGGACCTAAGATGACCATTGAGAATTACCCTTTTATTTATTTATTTATTTTTTAATTTATTACATTGATAAAAAACGTGTAGAGAAGAGGAAGTACTAATGCAGTATTATGCATAACAAACACTAAAATATTAAAAATCACATGGAAAAGAGAGAAAGGAGGAGTGAGAAAGGTGAGTGAGACCACTTTTAATTGTACCACTGAAAGCTTATATAATATCATTGGTTATTTAGTGATACTATATATGCACGTAGTTAGTACCATTGAATGCATATATACTACCACTACATATATACATAGTATCACTAAATATTCAATGGTACTATTTAATCACCCAACGGTACTATTGATTATTCAATGGTACTACTCTAAAGTCAGAATATACATTACTTGTAATTACGCCCTTATCCGTCGTTATGCAATTGTTTATGCATAACGGTACTTCCTTTAAACTCCCTTGTAGTCGTGTACGGAATAACTAATTCAGAACGGAGGAAGTGTGAAAATTATATCTGACACGTGTCATTGATATTTTTCTCTCACATAAATTTTGTTTTCCCAACAGAGCTTTCCAAATTTTACTCTGCGACACCCTCTCCATTCTCCATTGAAGCAGCTTCTGAGCTTTCTCTCTCCTCCATTGAAGCAGCTTCTCAGGTAACATTTTGTTTCCTCGTTTCAATCACTGAATATCAATTTCACAATCTAGGGTTTAGTTTCTCACAATCGTTATAGTCAATTTAGGGTTCTTCTTCTACTATTGGTTATAATTACTGAATTTATGAAATATTATTTATTGCTAGAATTGATCTGTGTGCTATTTACATTTACATTGATATTCTTAAGCAAGAAGAAATTTATGTGATTTTTCGAGCCTAATTTGATGATTGAGTCAAATTTGGTTGCTAATGTATTGCATTTTTAGTTTTTAATACTTTAATGTTAGGACGGAAATATGTAATTGGACTATTTCTCCGCGATCTTGGTTAGCAAGGAGTGTATTTTTGTGCTCAGAGTATGTAAAGATTTCAAATTCAATTGCAAATTGATGAATGATGAACCTTAGTGCAGGAAACGAAAGCCAAATGCACAACATCTCGATCGTTGCATTTTTATTACAAGCAAAGTATAATTTTAATTAGAATGATTGAGTGCATGTTGGTCTGAATTTAAGAAAGGAAATGGAGTGGGAGCAAATAAGAAAGAGAAAGGGTAATGTTAAAAGTTAGTCCGATACCATTATTAGTGGTTTGGTTCTAGTAAGGAAAAGGATTACCTTGTATTTTATTGGGGATTGAGAATAACGATTATGTTACCGTAGGGTTGGGAAGGGTGATACATGGGTGGTAATGGTTACTATTAGGAAATAGAGTGTGGTGTCCTACCTCCCATACCAAACAATAGGTGATGCAAAACAGCTAACTGATTCCATTTCAATTCTTATAAATCCTATACCAAAAACGCTCATAGAGTATGCTGCTTTAACTTTCTTTAAGCATAAATCATCCTCGCAATGTTACCAATGCCTTAACTGATTATCTCATCCTGGCAACATATTGTTAGTAACATATAGTTTTTAGTTATTATCAGAGTGATAATGCATTGAAGTCATCTGGTTTATCCTACCTTGGATGGAATGTGGTCGTTTTTTGTGTATGTTTGGTTATTTTGCTTGGACATACTACTTAGGATATTTCTAGTCTTCTGGGTTTGTTTTGTGCATTTCTTTGGTTGACATAATAAATTAAGTAGAACAATAATTATGTGATTCGTCATCAATGAAACTAATTTTAAAATGTATAGAATTAAAGGGATAAGTTGTCAATTATGATACCAAATTTTTGGTTATGTTCTGGTTCTAGATATCATTGTCTGTCATAGCTCTGGATTTTCTATTCATTACACTATTAGTGCCGAGTATTTCAAATTTGTTCTAGTCCTTTTAGGTTTTAAGGTGCATATAACTTATAACTTATCTTTATATGATCTCTAGGCTTTGTTTGCCTTGTATGTTCACTTTTGTGTAGACTGTAACACTCTTTGGGTTCTAGTAGCCAATATAACTTACCACAGTGGCACAACACTTGTATATTGTTTTAAAATATATGGTATATATTTTTCTCTAGTGCTTTTGGGTTTCCACTGCCATCTCATTATTAGCAATTGTTAAAGCTTTCATTCATAAACTCCTGATGGTGATTATATCTATTCTTGCAGCATAAAAGCTTAATCTAGACCAATGCCTCATAGGACACGGCCTATGGCAGCGCTTCTTTTGTTTACTGGCCTGAATGTGGTTTTGGTGTCATCAATCTCACCTGTCTATGATTATGTGTGCTTTCATCCTTATTGGGAAAGAAGGGTATGATCTTGCGTCATAAGCTGTCTTTACCTCTCTTGTTGATATAAGTGCAGTATGTGAAACTTTTTACTTCGTATAACAATACTATCAACTGCTTTATTAGTTATTTTGATGGACTCATTTTTGCAGAACTCACAACAGTGTGTGTAAATTTCTTCTTTTATCATATTGATTGCTCTATTCTTATGGGAAACTTTGTTTATGAAACACCTTTTTGTTATTGTAATGGTGGCTCTATGTACATATCTGGCCTTTTCTTTCCTTGCCTTGTCTTTTCCTTTAATGCTTTCTAGGCCTTTTTGGTAAGTTTTCTAGACCTTGGAAGAAATTACTATATTACTTTCAATCCAATGGGGAAAAAAATGTGATTCCAAAATAAAGCTCTCTAGGGACCAGAGATTAATAAGAGATCCAAGCTGCCTACCTAAACCCAAATCTTCCCTGGTTTAGTATTTGTGTTGTTGTTAGACCTTTATTGATATTGCTGTCTCTCGTATATATTTTAGCACACAAATTCTTCAACACCCCAAAAACTCAGTGATTCGATCCTACTTGTGCCCTTTCTTAACCCACTTGGCCGTCACAAGAATACCCACGCTCTTGTCGCTAATAGACAAGAGTTCCCTTCGGTAATCAGACACCCACCTGTGCTGCTATGTGCTCACTGGCGCTTTTCTGCACTAGGCTTGCGCCTCTACTGCCACATAGGCAAGAGTGTGGCACGGCCTGTTGTCATATTACTCGGGTGTGGCCAAACATATTCCTGTCAACATAACAAACAAGACATTGTTAATATCTTTATCAATTCTCAACCTGCAATTTCCAATACAATTCCCATCCTCTCCAATTCCCATTCTTACACACTAAACGCCGCGCAAAGAGTAGGAAGTAGAGCTGAAGTATCATCTTGGTGAAATTAGAAAGGAAATCTCATAATCTTATCACCTTTGCCTTTCGTTTTCTTCCTTTGTCATTTCTTTGCTTTGGGGCTGCTGGGCAGAAAAGTGATAAATCAATGAACTCTAGAGAAACTATGGTAGTCTAAAACTTCACAGTTTTGAGTGTCAGGACATAACGGGCACTTAAAATACCTTACAAAGGAAGACAAGTTCCTTAGTAAAGTTGGTTTCTTTTAATTTTTTTTTTTAATTTTTATTTTATATCAAACTCGCATCATAAGCTTGGTGGAAAATAGTGTTTATAAAAGTTTGCTTGAGGCCACCTTGTCTACTAGGCATCGCTGCCTAAGTGTTTATCTAGGCCTGGACATTGGACAAGGCACTTTCGATGAAGTAAACTGGCTGCTCTAATCTCTTCTCTGCAAAAAAAAAAAAAAAAAAAAAAAAAAAAAAAAAAAAAAAAAATTACACTGATCATCTTTAATATTGGGAAATGCGCCTCACTCGTGCGCTGTACACCTAGGCTTCGGACCCCTGATTACCTTAGTGTGCCTTGAGCTTTTTAAATTACTTGTGCAAGTGCAGCATGCATATGTTTTCCTATTTATCTTCATCTATTCCTCTATTGTTATAGTAATCTTTATTAAGCTTCTTTCTTTGTGTAGGGATATTGAATCCCCTAAATCCTAAGAGCGGCAGGTAATGTAATGCAAGACATTATAAATGAACAGCAATATTAGAAAATAAGAGAACCTAATAAGGGGGTCAAAAGGACTTGTGAAATGTAAGGTGTGTAGGGGGAGATCATCATGACTTACCTCAAAGGAAACTTAAAGAAATCAACAATCTCTACCTGTGTAAGTCTTGAACCTGCACATAAAAATAACATGATAATTAGCCTGTAACATATCTAGCCTCTCTTTACTCTCATATTTCAACTTCTGGTGATATATTGAGTTTCATATATTCACGCCATTGGTTTTAGATGGATAGTTTGGTTTTAGGAGATAATGCCAAATTTTGAACAACTTAGAAAGTGAACTGCATAACAAAAGGAATGGTGCATCATATACATGGCCCTAAAGCATAGGATATGTCTCATATGAATCAAAGGCATGGGCTGCTTGTGTTCGAAACAAAGTAACAGCTATTGAATGCAAGATCAAACATGTGACACATACTAGCTAGCAATGCAATAACACTTTTCCTGACTTAACCAAATATGTCCACCTACTGGAACAACCTAAAACTCCTGAGTCCTGACAGCCCACAGCAGTTGCAGCTTGCAGGGGTAAGGTTTCATGATATGGTCGTATGGGAACATAAAACACGAATTAGCTTTTGGAATACATCTGCAGTTTCGGATAACTATACATTGACCTGGTCTATGAGTAAGGAGTTGTTTCATTGATTATCCTTCTCAAGATCCTAGTTCACTGCAGCAAGTTTGAGCAGGCTGCTAGCACTCATGGAGACACAACTCTGCCCAACTTCCTTGAAGTTCTAGCCTCCTTTTGAGGATTTGACATGCATAGTGTACCCTATCAAAGTTGTGTATAATTCAGGAAGTTTCCTAAAAATAAAATTCTATCTAAGCTGAAATGTATGGGTTACTTTCTAGAATTTTTTCTTTATCTAGGCATGTAATTTTTAGACAATATTGATTATAAATAATTTAATTTTATTTCTTCTTTCCTAATTAGTTTGAACTTTCTAAATTTAGCCCTTATTGAGGCCTATGCAACGTATAATTGGTGTTTGTTTTGAGTTTATGATTTTGGATTAATTCCCTTTGTGAGCTCAATTTAATCTCTACAAACCTCTTCGTGAGTTCAAATTTAGACTAACTTTGATTCATGACTTTCAGCTATTTAAAAAAATTTACTTGGCTTTAATTCTTGTAAACTTGGATTAGTGTTTCTGCTTTGTGTGTGAGAGAATTAGTCTTATTTTGAAGCTTTCTTTTTTAGCATTTTTAAAGGTGGATCCATCTCCTTGTCCTTTCAAAATATTTCATTCTTTAGCTTTCTTTGTGTACAGATGCAGATCTAGTCCATCTCTTAGACCTTGACTCTGAATTGCATCACGATGTACATATAACACTCACAATCTAGTGAAGAATTATCTTTATAGCCATTACTATAATGTCATTGTTTGATTGTTGATGTTGAATTTCTCTTATTTTCTTTGTAAACCAAATAAAGGTAGGATGTGACTCAATCGCTACATAAGATAGTAATGAGTTGTCTTTCATGGCTTCCAGGGTGATGACTCCTTTCCAAAATAAATTGCCCCTTGTTCAGTGGCAAAGAGGGGAGAAAACTTTTAAGAAAGATAATTCTCTTAATCTTTCTGTGTTTTGTCTATTTTTGGCACCCATAACAGAAAAGCTCTGTAATTGAAGTTTTGAGAATGACTAGAGAATCTGTTTTAGACAAGTAGCTGTAATTTAGTGTTGAGTATCAAGGTCAGGACTAAGTTATTGCTTTTGGTGCTTTCCATTTTCCATTATGTTTTATTGCAATCAATTTTCACCAGAGCAAGACAAGTTTCTCACTTGAGCAAAAAAGCTGGTGCTCCTTGCAATGTAATAGATTTTGCACTAGCGTTTTTATAGACCGTTCTAGGAGATGTGCCTATAAGTTTAGAAATGATCATTTATGCCCTTTTCTAGGGTCACAAAGAAATTCGATTTAAGTTATTGTTAACCTTGAATACACGGAGTATTACTTAACATTGACCATGGTATTGACTTGTCTTGTCCTTGTACTTTGGTTGTTGATTTTGGATTGATTGCAGAGAGAAAGGCGTCGTATGGAACGCGAAGCTTCCATGGAAAGAGGCTCTATGTCGGCTTAATTTCAGCTTCAACATTAAGCTACTTCTTATTGTGGAAGAATTGTCTTAGAGGACCATGTGTCAGGGGGGATCTGCTGCATTTTACAGTACAAATGCAATATATCTGCTCAAACAAAGGAGCATGTAACAAAGTTTTCCCTTCTTCATAACAGCTTACGTTCAAAAAAATTATTGCTTGTTGCCTTTCTGGTGAGTACCAAACTGCCCTTATAATCCCAGATTCCTAAACTTGAGTCCTTAATTTCCTACAGTCTGTCTTTCAAATGACCTTGGCTTTCTTATTACTCTTGTAAATACTTTTGATGATTGTATAGATTAATTTTTCTTGATCCTCATGCTTGAAGCAATCCACTTTTTTTAATTAATTAATTCACTTTTTTTGAGTAATATTTCAGATTATATTCTTGTGTCTTAGAAATAAATTTATCTGCTATAAAGTGTTCCAATTATTGGATGACATGTGATAATTGAAGTGGAAGCTAATGTATTGATACTGACATGTATGAAAAAACTTTGAGTAGAAGCTCAGTTAGTATAAAAAAAGTGCAGGTTGTTTTTATGTAGGCAAATGTACATTCTTTGTAAAAGAACTGGAAAATTCCAAACTGAAAGAGGTGAGAGACAATTTGGTTGTTTTTGAAACTTTTACTATTTTTATTTATCCTGAATTTGATTGAAAACAAAGAAAGCCTCAGGGCTTTTGTTTTCGAGTGAATTAAGGAAATAGCTGACGGCGAAATGGATTTGTAGTATGCACAAAATATATAACGTAGTATCAATAATTGAGCATGTGAGTTTTGAACATACAAACAATAATCGCCTGGATTGGGGACATGAGCATTTGTGAGCTGATAATTGAGCTAGATTCACAATGATTGTGATTGTAGAGATTTTAGGTCAATGTGGAAGGTTTGAGCTTAGTTATGTCTAGTGAGAGGAAAACAAGTCCTGTTTGGAATTGATCGTTGCGTGCATCGATTCAGTTTTTGTTAAAAGTTGTACTCTCTCCATTCCTAAACCTAAATACCATTACTAATTTTATTTAAGTTTTATTTGGTCTAACACTTCTTCTAATGATCAATTTAACCTATATGCAAATTAGGAAATACTTCGTACTTTGTACTACTCGTATATCTTAGGGGGGCTGAATGTCCCGTGACATATCGAGCTGTAAGCCTTAATTTTAATTATTAGCTTTTTTTTTTTTTTTTGTTCGTTTAATGTAGAAAAACAGATAACATGAAGTACTTCGTATATTTTCAGAAACATACTTTTTGTTTATGATGGAATTGGCATCTATGCTTCTATATTGCTTTGCTGCAATTACATCACTTATCATCATTCTTTCTTTTATACCCCATTTCCAAAGAAAATTACACTTTTCTTTTTTTAGCCATTTCACAAAGATAAAAGATTGTTATAATTTATGAGGGAGCCCCAGTTAATCTCCGAGATTAACACTCTAAGTTAATCTCCTCTCACAATTTTATGCACTTGTTTTCGTGCCACTTTACTATTTCACTTTTATTATTTTAAAAATAAAAGTAAAACAATATATTGTGAGAGGAGATTAAGTTTTCATGTCAATCTCAGAGATTAACTTGAATTCTCTCATTAAGATCCTACATTATTTGTCACTTTTTTCTACTCCACTCTTTCCCCACTTCTCTTTTTTTGTTTGTAATAAAATTTCATTATACTTCGTAGTTCGTACAGTATAACATTCTAAAACTTGTACTCCGTATTATATACTTTATTTATTCATTTAATTAATCTTTTGAAGTATAATAATCCACTACTTCCAATCATTATCTTGGTTTTTGTGAATTATAAGGAGGGAGATTACATAATCTGAGTAGTTTAGAGTCTTTAGAACAAAAAGGGTAGTTTAGACTATATATTAATATATATTAAATAATGAACTTTTCGTCATAGGAAAACAATATTTTTGGGAGGGACTAAAAGAGACTTTCGTCATTTCCAAATACTCCGTAAATACGAGTAGTTGAATAAAGTTCTATTTGTTTGTTTTGGAGAAAATTCAAGTTTATCACGGATGGATATGTTTATCTAGGGATAGTATATTACTTTCAAGATATTTTTGTAAATTTATAAAACGGAGACTCCGTTTACTTTGTTGACAGCAGTTAGAGGAAGAGAGAGAAAATTCATTAAGATTTTTGTCAAGAAAACCCAGATTTAAAATCCATATGGTTACCAAAATCTTTGAGGTTTTGTAGGCAATTTCAGCTTCAATTTAGCAAATAATTAACTTGTTCTAATGGTACTCATGGTGGCTGTCATTGATGTTGTCCATTATAGCTTCAATGGGGAAAAAGGGAAAACTCGCCTTTAATGGAGAAAACGATGGAGAAGTGAAATACCTACCTTTAGGGTTAACCATGCCCTTTATTTCACTCATTATAAAAAGTAAAAATACTCTATAACCCAATTCATCTTACTAGTAACATCAATTTATTATTATGTAAAAACTTTATTTATTTATAAGAGTAATCCTTATTTTTTGTCACAATAACCTTTTCAGCAACTTTTTGGTGCAACAAGCCGCTCGTGTGGCAGGGGTTACCCGAGTTATTTTGTTAGGGGTTACCCAAGTTATTCAGTCAGGGGTTACTCGAGTTACTCAGTCAGAGGTTACTTAAGGGGTTCGGACAGGGGTTACTCGAGAGGTTCACTCGGTCAAGGGTTAGTTGAGGGGTTACTCGGTCACGGGTTACTCAAGTTACCCGGTCAGGGGTTACTCGGTCATGGGTTACTCAAGTTATTCGGTCAGGGGTTACTCGAGTTACTCGGTTAGGAGTTATTTAAGAAGTTCGGTCAGGAGTTACTCGAGTAATTCGATCAGGGGTTACTTGAGGGTTCAGTCAGGGATTACTTGAGGGGTTATTCAGATACACGGTAAAGAGGCCGCATGCAAAAAATTGTGTAACCTTCTATCTATCACGTCAACCTTATTTAATAATCCTCGTAATCCTCAATACTCAATTATATCTATTCTCTCGTTCCTTAATGGCTTCTCTTCTTTTTTTTTTTTTTTTTTTTTTTTTAATAAAACCTCTAGTGCTTTTTATTTCCTCATTTTGATTCAACCAATAAGAAAATATATAAAATAAGCAAAATATGAAGTTTTAGCAAACCCCGACCATCTAGCTCTATATACATTCAAGTGCACAATCAATTCTAAATATTCAAATAATAAAATAAGATACAAAGTAATCATATACAAGTATATAAAAACCAAGCTAAGTTTGGTCTATGAAAAAAATTGCACCTTTTAACCCGAGTTCAATCCCCATCAGAGACACGTTGAAGGCGGGGGATCTATTATCCTTCCCTCTTACTTTCAAAGTATCTAATCTGTAAATATTGGACCAAAAAATCCATAGAATATTGACTATTGAGTATACACTCATACAGAGTACTTGATACTTATGCAGTTATGCTTGGTTATGTAGAATATGAAGAAAGAAAATGGGACCAAATAATAAACGGAGCCAAGAAGAGTGTGCGCACGCTTTGTCTCTCTCAGTACGCAACCCCATGTGCTTAACCTTTGCCTTCCCTCTCACATTCACATGTGCACTTGTCCCATGTTACCATGTTATTGTTGAATTTTTTCCCAAATTGAGCTTTATTGGTAAATTATTTACCAAATTGGTCTCGTGGGAAAAGTATTTCCCAAACTAAGCTTCTGGGGTGAAACGCTGTCTCGGACAGCGTTTTACACCCAGTTTTTTTTTTAAAAAAAATTCAAGAAGTAAAACGTTGTCTCACACAGCGTTTTACCTTGTTGACCTGTTGGTATGTATTTTGGCAAAATATACTAGTATATTTTGCCAAATTATACTGGAATATGTATATGGGCTTTAAAACGCTGCCTGAGGCAGCGTTTTATGTTGAAGCATAAAACGCAGCCTGAGTTAAAGCATAAAACGCTGCCTCAGGCAGCGTTTTTCTGCTAGACTGCATTACCAGCAGCATCAGCTACACTGCATCACCAACAAATTCTGCAATCTGCTGCTGCCCCTACACATAACCCTCACCCAGCAGCATCAGCTCAGCCCCACCATGAACCACCACCCCCACCACCATCCACCACCATCAACCACCTCCCCCACCACCACCGGCCGCCACTCTCGACCACCCCTATGCAATGCAAAACACCCTAAACAACGCAAGGACATTCCCACCACCCCCATCATTAACCACCACCCCCACCACCATCAACCACCTCCCCCACCACCACCGCCCGCCACTCTCAACCACCCATAAACTACCATAAAACACCCTAAACAACGCAAGAGCATTCCCACCACCAGCCCCAACCTTTCCACCACCATCGACCACCACCGACAACCATCAAACACTGGAAACAACCCCAACAGCATGATAACCATCGTGAAACAGCACTTTAAGTGCAGGAGACCAAATATATGCTGCTTGATACATATAACGGATATAAAAGATATAGTTTCACTAACAAAAGTCAAATTCGGACAAATAAGGGAAATAAACTTCAAATTGTACAGAGAGTCATTTAGAAAACATTTCTTGTATTAATAATGTAAGCGTTATATACAACATTGTTAAATATCTGAGTACCACAAAAGGATCAACTAACTAATACTATCCGGACTCATGTATTGGAGTTAACTGATCTCCATCCCGTGTGTCCTCCGTCCGTCTACGAACACGCCTCGGACGCCTCGTGTAATGCTGAATGGTGGTGAATGGGTCTCGGGACGGTGGAGGAGTCAGCTGGCGAGACGATGAGTCATCCTGGCTGTGGCCGGGAGCGGTGTTATGGATGAAGTAATCCTCTGCCTGTGTAGAGCCCGAAGTATGACCTCCACCACTACTCTGTTCGAAGTCGAACTGTGAATGGAAGGAGTTGGGGTCATGATCGTCCCTGGGGTGGACGAGATGGCCATGGCCATATCTCTGCAAGCTATGTATGCCCATATCTCGCACCCGCTCAACCTGGGCTCTGGTGGGTACGGCTGCTAAGGCTTCTGAAAGTGCATCAACCATCGCACCCATATCCCCCGCCTGCAGTAATCATCCATGAATTAGTAATATGATATAGAATTTCAAATAATTTTGGAAAACAAGAAACTGAAAAAACTCACAAGTCCGCTGATAACATCATAAGCTGGATGGTAGTGCGTGGACGGTGGGGTGTAGGTAGGGTTGATGAAAAGGCGTGTAATCTGCCTGTACCATACCATGTAAGGATCACGCGGATCCATAACACCCTGAAACAGGTGACCGTCAACGATGGACTCCAACCGTTGGTCCCAAAGCTCAATGAATTGATGATGCTCCAGTGCCCAGTTTGTCTCCAACTTTCCACGACGGTCAATGCC